CCTGTATTTTCTTATATCCATCCACTCCACCCTATATTTTCTTATATCCATCCACCCTGTATTTTCTTATATCACTCCACCCTGTATTTTCTTATATCCATCCACCCTGTATTTTCTTATATCCATCCACCCTGTATTTTCTTATATCCATCCACCTGTATTTTCTGTTATTCATCCACCCTGTATTTTCTCCCCATAAGCCACAGTCCCATCCCATGAAATGTTATCAGTAGTTCCCCCAATATAAACTAGGTTTAAAAGGAGTGTTTGACTAGGATGAACTCCAACCCTTTTTGTTGCTACAGGGAATTTAAGAATTTTAGGGAAAATCCCTAGTGGGGGAAGTTTAAGACACGAACATTTAAACTTTTTACATGCACTAGACTTTCTATGTCTGAAAAAAAAGACATTTTTACATTAGAGAGATTTATATTCATCAGCACTTGATAGGCAGACAGATAGTACAGATAGATTAGAGTTCATCTCCCCTGATATCTTCTACCTTCTCTTTACTGTCTCGTCTACACTCTGGATACTTGTATTTTTATAGTCTGGATAGTTGATAGTTTAGAACAGTTCAGCTACTTAGATCTATCTGTATTAGTTTACAATAGTACAATTCATATAGATAGATCTATATTCAGTAGTTTACAATAGTACAGTTCAGATAGTTAGATCTATCTTTAATAGTTTACAATAGTACAGTTCAGATAGTTAGATATATATTCAGTAGTTTACAATAGTACTATTCATATAGTTAGATCTATATTCAGTAGTTTACAATAGTATAGTTCAGATAGTTAGATCTATCTTTACTAGTTTACGATAGTACAGTTCAGCTAGTTAGATCTATCTTTTATAGTTTACAATAGTACAGTTCAAATAGTTAGATCTATCTTTACTAGTTTACAATAGTACAATTCATATAGATAGATCTATATTCAGTAGTTTACAATAGTACAGTTCAGATAGTTAGATCTATCTTCAATAGTTTACAATAGTACAGCTCAGATAGTTAGATCTATCTTCAATAGCGCTTACAATAGTACAGTTCAGATAGTCAGCTCTATCTTTGATAGTTTACAAAGTATAGTTAAAATAGTTAGATCTATCTTTACTAATTTACAAAAGTACAGTTCAGATAGTTAGATCTATCTTCAGTTGTTCACAATAGTACAGTTCAGATAGTCAGATCTCTCTTTGATAGTTTACAATGGTACAGTTCAGAGTGTTAGATCTATATTCAGTAGTTTACAATAGTACAGTTCAGATAGTCAGATCTATTTTGATAGTGTACAATAGTACAATAAAGATAGTTAGATCTTTCTTTACTAGTTTACAATAGTACAGTAAATAGTTAGATCTATCTTTAAAAGTCTATAATAGTACAGTTCAGATAGCTTAGAAAAGTGTACAGGAAATTGATGGACATAACTTAACTCGTCTATTTTCTAACTAGAAAATGTCTTCTATGAACTTTTCTATCTTTGAAAAATCCTATCTGTGTAAGCCAGTAAGGTATTTCATTTAAAATGTCTACCTATCAAATATACAAGAATTCCCATTCTTTCACCCTAATCCTTCTGTTTATTTAGAAATAAAAAACGTTGAACATATTTTTATCTATTTCGTTATCTGCATTTCTAGTTGTCGAGTAAAGAATGCATAATGAAGGGAAGTGAGAAGAAGTTTTTACCTCTTACCTTTTCTAATAATTCTTTAATAGATATCAAGTTCCTGGTTACCCTTCTCACCCCTTATAGTAAAACAAAACAAAGAAATGAGTCTTTGTCACAAACTATGATTTTCTAATATCTATATCTTTGTAATCCAATTCCGCAGACCTTAGATATTTCAAACTATGAATTTTGTTAGATGAAAAAATCTAAGATTGAAATATCAAAAGTTTACACTATCAGGTGGAAAAAATATAGGTATTAGAAAATCAGAGTTTTTTACAAAGACTCAATTCCTTTACCTTTAAAAACTAACCATTGACAAAAACATTTACAGAAACAAATATTTAGAGCTAGCAAACTCTATCTTTATTTATTCATAAGTTTATTATTAAAATATGATCGCGAAAGCGGAAAAAAGATTGTCTTATTGTTACAATTGCACACCGCTCTTTTTTGTATTTGAAGTAAGAAGAGTTTTGTGGTTTTTAAGACTACCAAATGTAACTATTGTAAAATTTGACACCAAAACCAAATCTTTTGAAGAGGGGGTTCCTAATCTTCAAACATGCTGGGTTCTCAAGTATTGTATCACACTGTGGTCTCAAAATTAATACAGTACAGTTCCTTTAGCAAGACACATAAAACCCATAGAACTGTGGAATAGACAGACGACTGTTGGACTAAAGTTATGAATTCAAATAGGCCAATGAACATGAATAACAGCAATAACAATAACAATAACAGGTCCCTTTTACTTAATAATTGATGTTCAAACTACTTGGATGAAACTATTTGCTTTATTTTTATTTATTTATTTTATTTCGTGAACGTACACAATTTAAATAATTGGTACAACAGAAAATACACCTAGGGTTGCATAAATGTTGCCTTCCTATTCCTAAACTTTGTTAGCCTAGTCTAGTTTTATGAATTATTCCACATAAAAAAATACAAGGTCATAACACTATCGATATTTTCTAATTTTTAATGTTGAATGGTATTTTAACTAGAAAATTTTCTGAATTAATTTCACTGCAATTATTTTTCGCTGACAGTCCTCGGCATTACTGATGTGAACTTAAATCAGAATTTGCGCTATTTTTAACTGAATTCATTTCTTTAAATGGAAAAGTTCTCCCAGTTATAGAATCCTATTCTTACATTTTATGCTCAAATTACTAATTTAACAATAAACATTAAACATATAAACTCTCAAATATTCACGTCAAGGGTATATAACATGTATAACATAGATATATCTTTTGGGATTTTTGTGAGCTGTCCCAAAAACATCGTTTCATTGTTTTTTTGTCTACATCTACTATTATAGTATTGGAGTACAGTAACCTCTAAACTCTAGGCACTGGAGTACAGTATCCTCTCAACTCTAGGCACTGGAGTACAGTATCCTCTAAACTCTAGGCACTGAAGTACAGTATCCTCTAACCTCTAGGCTCTGAAGTACAGCGTCCTCTAAACTCTGGACACTTAAGCACAGTATCCTCTCAACTCTAGGCACTGAAGTACAGTATCCTCTAAACTCTAGGCACTGGAGTACAGTATCCTCTAAACTCTGGACACTTGAGTACAGTATCCACTAAACTCTGGACACTTGAGTACAGTATCCTCTCAACTCTAGGCACTTGTGTACAGTATCCTCTAAACTCTGGACACTTGAGTACAGTATCCACTAAACTCTGGACACTTGAGTACAGTATCCACTAAACTTTAGGCACTGGAGTACATTATCCTCTAAACTCTGGACACTTGAGTAGAGTATCCACTAAACTCTGGACACTTGAGTACAGTATCCACTAAACTCTAAGCACTGGAGTACAGTATCCTCTAAACTCTGGACACTTGAGTACAGTATCCACTAAACTCTGGACACTTGAGTACAGTATTCACTAAACTCTGGATACTTGAGTACAGTATCCACTAAACTCTGGATACTTGAGTACAGTATCCACTAAACTATGGACACTTGAGTAAAGTATCCACTAAACTCTAGACAATAACCTCTTATTCCAGAATAGTCGGTGATGTAAGGATTATAAGATTAAATGTTAACAAGAAATGAGATCATCTATGGTTTCGTCATTACTGCAACCCTTACACGACCCACACACCAAAGTTCAACCCAATGAGTAGGAGTATGAGTATGAAGAGTTTTTCACTAGTTCATCTAGTCTTCTTGTTTGCAATTTTGTTTTTAGTTACTAGGTTTTAATCACTCTTCATATCCTTTTGGAAAATACAGGATTCAGAGGATTTGACAATAATCCCAGCTTACGCCACACATTTTTCTACTGGTCTGACCCCCCCCCCCCGAGTCTTGTCCTTATCCCTGGAAAACATACTACTTTAACCTAACAAGTATTTTACCCCAATATGTATCCAATACAAGTTTCTCCTACATCAATTTTAATGAAAATGCCTTTTCTTCTCAATGGTTTGATTCGAGGAAGAACTTTGAGGTTTCCTATCCAAAGACTTTGTGGAAAAGCTTAACATTTAATGTAAAAACATGTGCAACTTCAAAAATCACCGACAATAAAATATATACGCTTCTACATTTGCAGTGCTCGGCCCCCAAGTCTGTAATGGACTTAACTTATCACTCAACCAAACTATTGGATAAAAAGGTTTATTTTTTTTTAAAAAGGTACACTTTTTAACCGTTCCACAAGTCCTATATCAAGAATGTGGGAAATGGCCCTTTCCCCCCCTAAAAATGTATTTATTATTTCAGAGTTCAATTAAAAAAAATTTGTAAAAATAAAAAAAATACGTCTCTGAACTTGAAGTGAACGACAATGAGTAGAGTGAAACTAAAGCTGGAAAGAACGCGTATTTCAGGTTTAGAATTATCATCTGAAATCTTAAGAAGCTTCAGGGTTCAATACATTCAACCTTGTCTAGGTGAAACCAAGAAACCGGTTTAAGATTTGCAAATTCTTCAAATTCCGCAAACCTTTTCTGCACATTTTTTGGGGGTAGAGTCTTTAAACTAAATTCACAAAAAGTTCAGATTTCCCATGGTGGGGAATACAAAAACAGTTGTATTCTTCACATTAAAATATTTTAACTCCGGATGATTTACAAGAAATATCCTCTTCAAGGGAAAACAAACTCCCCTCTACATTCTACAACTTGACACAAAGTATATTCTATTTTAGTATTCTATTCTTTAGGTTTGGTTAGACTACGTAAGACTCAAGTAAGAAAAAAATATTGTTCTCAATTACAAAGATAAAAAATGAATTTAATAATTTCTCTATCTCACACACCACACAACACACAAGAAATTAAGCATCGAGGTTGGGTGATAATTTTCTAAACATATATTTCATATTTTATTCTATATTATCCAATTATTTAGAGAAAAGGTCCACTCGACTTTGTACATTTTTGGCCATAAAGGACCAGTTTACAGTTTATGCATTATACTATATACTATTATTTTCATACAACTGATAGAATATAAAAATCTTAGAAATATATAAACTTTTCATTTCAGACTAGGAAGGGTTTTATACAGTTATTGAGACCATGGGGTAAACATTATAATTTTGTTAGTATATATTCTCTCAGTGAGACAAGCTTGCTCTGAGCTGTAAGGTCTTTAATTTCTTCTTGAGCTCTGTGTTCTTCTCCATGAGCATCCTTCTCTGTTTGTGAGCTAGGGATTCAGTTTGACGAAGGCTCCGACAAAATTCAATAGCTTTATCCAGTATCATCTGTTTAGACACCCGGTCAGAGGAGGAGATGGTTGGGACGCAAGTTTTAACAATATCGTAAGCATTTTTTAACTCCGTTCTTCTTTGTCTTTCCATGTAGTTGTGCAGGTCACGTGCATCCTTGGGGCGTTCAATGTTCTCCGAGGTTTTGAGGACGGATAAGCGAGGTTTTTCTGATCTAGATAACTGATGAATGTTGGAGCCCCATCGAGGTTCTCTTGAATGTTTTAACGAAGTTTTAATTTTGATTTTGAAGGTAAACTTTGCTTTAGAGGAATTTTGCTTTCTTAGGGAGGGGTTTGAGTCCATGATACTTTTTACAGCTAGATTTAGGCGATCTGCTTCAACTCCTTGGTGAGGACGGTTTCGAATTTTGAACTCGGGCGAGGACGGTTTTGATGAGTAGTATCCCTGGATTGAATCTTCATCTTCTGAAGATTCTGGAGGTGTGAGTGTACATGACAGGTTTCTTGAAGTATAGCAATGATCTTTACTAGATACTGAACTTGTAAGAACGGTTTGATCTGAGAGACGACAGCCTTGCTCCATGATGACTGTTGACCAGTCTGAAACTACGTCAATCTCATCTCCGCTCGAGCAAGAGGATTCTTCATCTGAAGGTAGAGGAGTTTCAAAATGTTTCAGGTACTCGTTTATATAAGAGGTTGGGGGTGTGAGGCTCATTTCTTCATTTAGAAGAGATGTGTAGGGTTTAACTCTGTCAGCTTTATCATCAGGTTTGAATAGTTTTGCAAGATTTTGTCCCGTAGACCACATACAATCCTGTCGTATCTTATCTTTGGTATCAAGTTCGTCCAAGATTGATCTTTTCTCCGCTGATCGAACTACGGCATCTATGTCCAAAGTCAGATCTTTCATGGTGTCGAACTCGAACATAGAGAGAGAATGTTCCATGTGGAAGTCCTCTTGGGCCTCTATGTCTTCCATCTTTATATCAATATCATGAAAAGTATCCATGCTATCCATGGAGAAGTTAAGATCTCCGATATCTGGAACCGTTCCTCGAGGACAGAAATCCATTTTCTAAAAAAAAATAATAAATTTAAAGTTGACAACTGATTGTATTGATTCATTTAATGTCATAAAATATATATTTTTTTTAATTAAATTTTTTTTCAATACCTTATATATGTCTAATCTGCATTAACTAAATCAGAGTCACAACTCATATACACGTGCTTCTCTGAGGACGGATAGTGGTAAACTAACTTCTGCCGGACTGTCTCAACCTGTAGCTACTAGAGTTTACTGGAGCCGGAATACCGGGTTTCCGACTCTCCTATTGGATGGAAATACAGCAATCCGAAACCTCGATTGGGAACTAAAGAAAACTGTTGAATTCCTTTTCTATAATTTCTGGACAAGAAAATGGCTATTTGCCAATACTGTCACCGGCCTGCAGGTTATTCAGAGTAAGCTTGCAAAATGTTTGCAAACCGGGGCAAGAAAACCAAGAACACATAAAATTAAAAAAAGATATGTAAAATAAATAATTCCAAGGGTTAGATGAAGTGAATAAAGATGTTCAAGCATAGCCGAAGAAAAATTATTGTTCTTAAAAGTATATTAAGAAGAAAAAGCGCATAACGAGTTGTAACTTTGTTGTAAGTAGAGATTAAAAATATAGTTTTTTAGTGATCTAATTTCTCTGGTTCTAAGCTTTCTATTAGTAATATCAATAATCTGTAAAATCTGTCTATTCTTCAATCATTGTGTACTCAACCCCACCATGTAAAATGAAAAACTATGCCGGTAACCTTGAGTCAATAAGAGTAGTTTCTTATGTTTATTCTAAACAAAAAGTGGATATTCAGTGAAGAAGGTTTTAAAGTATGGAGAAGGTAAATGAAGAATCAAGTTTTTGTGTTTGCACTAAAGATATGAATATATTGTCTCGGCGACATAATGTCGTTAAAACATCAATGAAAAAGTTAAGCAAAGAATATTTAGCATTATAGAATCAAAGTCCACTCACTCTCAGAGATATGAAAATGAAACACAACTTTGCAAAAAATCCCATTCAATCAAATTAAATTAAATTTAAAAAATGATAATAGTAGTCGTTTAAAATTGTTTATTATCTATTTATAAGCATCTAATATCTATTATATCAGTTCAAACTGTTTTTTTAAAGGAATTGAGTCTTTGTCAAAAACTCTGATTGAACCCAATGTCGGAGACCTTTGAAATTTCAAAATTTGAGTTAACTCAAATAATCTAAGGTTGAAATATTAAATATTTATGCTGTAAGGTTGCAAAGATATAGAGAAAATTTATGCAAATCTATGTTATCAAAGCTACAGGGCCTGTAATTTCTAGTTACCCAACATTTTAAACTGTTGAATTCGGTCAATTTCCTTCTTATTCTCTGTTGTATTCAATCCACAAGTAGATTTTTTAAACTTTTGATGAGAATAAGGAAACCGTTCTGATAAATCCGTGAAATGGAAACAAAAAACCTCCTCTTGAATTATGTAAAACTAGCTTGGGAACACAGCTTTGTCTGGATATTTTCCTTTATAAGTTGACCTGCACTCAGCTTAAATCTCAAAACCAAGCTAACAACATTCCCGTGGTTCTCTCAAGTTCTGAATTCAAAATTTGAGGTAAATCGGTCACGGGGACTTGAGTTATGGTCGGAAAAAACTAAAGTAAACTATCTATTATGTTTTTTATCATAACTTCTTTTATCGAAGAGATATTGATAAAAACAAAAATGTTTTGAATTCATGATATGTAACCTAATAAATTTGGTTTTCTTACACTTGTGCGCAAATTCAGAACTAAATTACGATTTTAGCTAATTTTCCCTTTAAGAATCGACCCACTCAACTTGGAATCTTAAACCCAAGCTAGAACATTTCCGTGGTTCTCCCGAGTTCCTCACTCACAATTTGAGGCAAATCTAGTGGTTCCTGAGTTATGATCGGACAAACAAACAGAGATTACAACTTTATATATATAAAGATAGACGACAAGAACAGTTGGTTGAAAATTCCGATTTCATGAAATGAACAGAATACATATACTAATGTAAATAAACATAGTATAGTATAACAAGATATTTACGAGTATTTGACCTGACTCATAATCTAATTATAATGAGACGCTGAGGGGAATCAACCGAAAGAATCCCCTCAGTTGATCCTGAAATATTCTTTTGTCAGGGGGATGATGGATTTGGGTTCATTTCCGCCAATATTATCACTTCTATGACAAGATATACATATATTGCTGAACTTCCTTCGCAGTAATTTCAAGAATTAAAGATTTGATTACAGCTCATCTCGTGTTAGAAAAATGTATCTTTAAAATAAAAAATTCTGATAGATTTAAAAGCTGAATCTACGACTGTCGTTAAAGCGCAACATTTATATGTCTTATTGTTTGAGGCTTAAGGTAAAAGAAGAAGACAATCAAAGCTTAAAGGGAGTGTTCGCGAAAAATGAAAAGGGGTATAGGCTTAATGCGATAAAAAATCGCTTTTGATCGCTAGTAATCTTACTTCTACTTCTATCTGTTGCGTCTATAATGAGAAAATTGAAAAAAGATATCTCATACCAAAGAGCGTAGCGCCCATACAAATTGAGCAAGTTGGAACATACGACTTGGAGCGTAAAAAAATACAAATGTGGCGTAAGATAATCGATGACTATAGGTTGTGATATCTGAATGATTTGTTTAAAAAATTCCCTGGTCACGAAAAATGTCTCTTTGGCATATTTTGTAAATTAAAAATCTTACATTCAATGGTTGATCAATTATTATTTTGAAGAATGAAGATAATGTAATTTTCAACCATATTTTTAGACAAACAATGTTAAGTTGAATTCAGCTCTTTTTTTGGTCAATATTTTTTGTTTTATTTTATTTAAAAACCTGTAGCTAAAAAGATGCAGCTTTAAATGAGAAGTTAAAAAACTCAAGCTTAACGTTAAAAATGGAAAATAATATCTTACAAATATTAAACTATTCTGATAATTAAATCTACATCTACAATCATAAGTTTGATCAGATTGTATTAGGTTAGGGGGCCCCTCATTACTCCCCTTTCACTTTGACTCTGCAATCTAATTTTCTACCCCCACCCCCCCTTCTCATATTGTTACTAAGTGGAATGAAGTATGTAGGTGTTACAAAATAATGAAATATATAATTGCAGGTCGTTCATCAAGTTTTGTATTTAGAAGAAAAACACACGCACATTAGATTATATATATTATATATATCAGTTATTTCTGGAGATTGAAGAGATGAGTTTAAGAATCGAGGTGATATGAAATATTTCGGTCTCTGGAATTCATCATGAGATGAAAAATTATATTCCTATTGCTATTTTCCATTCAGTACTTTTAAACTGAAATCTACTCTACAGGGTGATTTTTAAAAGTCAATTTTTTTATTTGTCCTTAATTGGATGAAAAATCCAGAATATTGATCTTCCAATTTCTTCTTACTGTCTAACATTTGATAATTACCACAAGGGCTTCACCCAGAAAAAAATATTACAGGTCTCCCTCCCTTAAACAGGTCAAACAATGCCAAAAATACGACATTTTACTCCACTATCTCCCTAAAATATTTTTTTATTTATAATTATTCTCTTACCAGTAGTAATCACTTTGAAGGAGCCTCAATATATGAGAAGATCTTGTAGAATACATTCCAGCTATTAAAATATTAAATTCGTCCTCCATGTGATTTAAAAAAGTCAAATTGTCCAAATATCAGATTCGAAGTTTGGTAGTTAGTTGAGAGCCTCCTTAAGCAGTGAAAGATTACCAATGCTGGAGATAATTTAACGAGTTAATAAATATTAAAGTTTTCTTTTTGTTGTGCCGTGTTTTGCTTTGGTGAACATTTAAAAAAATTCGACTTTTAAAAATCACCCTGTATGTCTGAACTAGAGAACAATAAAATTATTAATATGTGCTAAGTGCAAACATAGCAATAGTATACGATTAGTATTACTCAGTATTAACACGCCGAAGTTCTTCCTTATCAGTGTTATTATGTGAAATCTAAAAGGATGTTCAGATAGTGAAATAATGATATATTTGCTTAAAACATCTCTAAACTAGAAATAATGATATATTTGCTTAAAACATCTCTAAACTAGAAATAATGATATATATGCTTAAAACATCTCTAAACTAGAAATAATGATATATATATGCTTAAAACATCTCTAAACTAGAAAAAAAAGAATCTCGCGATTTCCCCAACGTTATGAAGATAGAACTCGAATGTATTAGGTTTTTCCTTTTTAAGTCGCTTCGTGACACTTTTTTTTAGTAATTCTTTACAGCTTTAAATAACAACCTTTTTACTTCGTACATCATCAGACTGTTTTCTGTTTTCATTTCCAATTTTTTTTATTTTTTTTTAAATGAGCAAATTTTATAATTCCCACCAGCCATGGGCCTGGTTCATAAACTTGGACTCAATAGGTTGAGACGTTTTTACGTTTATTGCATTTAAACTGGCAAGCCATATATATAGAGAGAGTAAGGATTACCCTCATAATATTGTATTAAGATTAGATGTAGTAAATTGAACTAATTTGTTGATTAAAGATAAGAAATCAGATTAAACAAAGATTATATTCTATAATAAGCAAATCTTCCAACCGACCTGAGGTAGTAATAGAATATTATTTAAATCAACTTGTTTTCATCATTAATTAAGATTTTATGATTATTACAGTTTTACCGACCAGACTTTAAAAGAACGGCTTAGCTTTTTTAGGTTTAATTATTTGATTTTGATATATTTTATGCATATTTACAAACAAAAAGCTGGAAATAACGAACTAAGAAAATTTTTTCTGCTGAATTTTTAACAGTTTTTTAATTGATTTTGATGGTTATTACAGATCATTAGAACTGAAAAGGGTCAAACAAGACTGTAATTTATTTTCAAAAAAATGTTTAACTAGCACTTAACTTATTCACTCGCTGATCTTTGGATCATCATAAACGCCAAAATTTAAATCTAAGAAAAGTTAAAAACAGTAGCGAGCTAATAATACCAATAAGAGCAGTAGTGAGCTAATAATTCCAATAAAAGCAGTAATGAGCTAATAATTCCAATAAAAGCAGTAGTGAGCTAATAATTCCAACAAAAGCAGTAGTGAGCTTATAATTCCAATAAAAGCAGTAGTGAGCTAATAATTCCAACAAAAACAGTAGTGAGCTTGTAATTCCAATAAAAGCAGTAGTGAGCTAATAATTC